TCAATAAGATTTATTGAAAAATTAGGCTATGTCAAACTAACAATTAAACGGTATCAAAGCATATTTCTTTTTGCATAAATACCTTGACTAGTAAAATCCGCCTACGTTGCAAAATTTGCAATAAAATTCAAAAATTTAAATTGTTTTCTGAGTGCATTATGTAAAGTAAAATGTAATAAATAGTGGTTTACCGTATTTTTCATGCCAATTATTATTGTTTCGAGCAAAAAAACATAGGTGTTCTATTTAAAAAACTAAATTTGGTAGCATTTCCGGCTACACCGGATGTGCCAAAAAAATTTGACGCATTTACTAAGAAAACGAGGAATGAATAGTATTATTTGAAAATATAGTTTTTTAAAAAAAAAGGAAGTTTAGGTGTTATCTGCCGGGGCGACTTGGACCGAACATCCCTGTATACATGTGGATCAATTAATAATTCGAAGGCTTAGGTACTTATGGCCATCTCTTTTCAACATTTTTTGTAAACAGCCTCCACTGTTCTGTCGCAATTTGTATTAGGTCGGTCAGGCTATTTATCTCATTTTAACAAATGCGAGGCAGGGCTACTGACGTACGTCAAAAGTGCCGTCACGTAGGTTATTTATAATTTAATTTTTGATGACAAAAACTGTTTTGAGGATAATATTTATATGTACAATCAGCGTAGAAAAGATTGTCCTCCTAATAAACAGCGCGGACCCTTAGAGGCTGAACCCATAAACCACAACAATAAATCTTTTCCATTGTAAACTTTATTTCTTATTCAACAGTATATTTAGTTTGAAGAAACTAAATTAATCAACTTTTATTTTTGTGTATTTAAAAAAAATCATAGCCATTCGAAAAATGTCTAATCTATTAATAAACAAATCATTACCAAAAAAATTACTTTTAACTTTAATACAGAAATATTTGCAAATTAATTTTAAATACGAATAAAACAAACTGTTGTAGTAAGAAAAAAATACGTACTACATAATAAATAATCTACAATTTTTTTTAATATGTTATTTTCTGTTTACTATGGTAAAATTAAATTGTCAAATATTTATAAAATCGATGTGTTTGTTGTCAAAATTTGTTTGAATTGAATAAAAATGATATGAAATTATTTAATTAATCAAATGCAACTTTATTAAAAAGAATTAAACTATCAAAAAATTAAATAATAATATTGTTTATTAAATTATGCCATTTAAAACAGCATTTTCTTGTTATCTTAGTAAATAAATAACTAATTAAACATTAATTAAAATTATTTTTTAATTAATATTTAGTTGCGGTATAGAGTTGTGAATTTTTGAAAATATTTTTTTACTTAATCAACTGAAAATAAAATCGGTAACTGAGCTTCACTTCAAACTGAATATACTGTTAAATATGAAATGACGTTTACAATGAAAAAGATTTATTTATTGTTGTGGTTTATGGGTTCAGCCTCTAAGGGTCCGGGCGGTTTATTAGAAGGACAATCTTTTCTACGCTGATTGTACACCTAATGCCAGGGAGAATCTTTAATTTTTGACTTTAGTACCAAAATGTCAGAAGCTGTCAAATGTCAAAAACACACGGAAGTCATGTTGTGTTCTTGATTCACACTTTCCCCACCAGCAAAAAATAAAAAAATTGACTTTAACTATTAATTCTGAGTATAAACTACTAATAAACACTTGATTGAAAATATGTAATCTGCTTATAATTTTGAAGTCTATTCTGTCGCCGATCTTTTTTTAAAAAACAACATTTGCAGTGGCAATAAAAATTGAAATAAATTTTCAAATAACTTTTTTTGTCTTGTTATGTTATGCTTTTATTACGTATGATAATGCAGGATCTAGGGTTGTTTTTAACCTACTAAATTTTTAAGTTATGTATAGGTACAGATAAAAAATAAATATCTAGATCACAAATAAATAAAATCGTGTTATGTAAATTTGTTTTTATTATTTGTCCCACGTGTATGATAATGTAATAAAATTATACAGAAGCAAACCGTTAAAAATCTAACAACAATGAGAAATGATTAGAAGGATTAGCCTTAAATTAGGTGACGTTTATAGACGGCTTTGTGCTGTTGTTGTGTTAGATTTGCTTTAGGGTGAGAAGGATGGAAATCACTGCCATTTCCTACACAAATGTAGACTTGATTGGCCATAATTTGTGACAGCGCGACATGGTCGCAGTTTCAATTTGCAGAAATTAGACCCCTAACGAGACTATTACATCCATCATGTTTCAATGTGGCTCGTTCACAATCTACTACTATATTTTTTACAGTTATTGAAAAGTTGGTTCAAACTTATACAAATCATAAAAATCACTCTTTTCTCTTCTGAGTAATTATTTATTAGCATATACGCATATAAACTTAACTAAAATAACTTTTATATTTTTATCGAATGTCAATTTTTGCAGGCAAAATATATGTAAAAATAAATTTTAAAATTTAAGAGTTTAATAGTGTTTTTATCAAGGTATTAGCTCAATTACTAATAAATTTCAATAGATTTTTTTATTATTGGTTATTATTTGGCATAAACTATCATTCCTTAATGTTATATACGGATATGCTAAAACTCACCCTATAGATAGTTTAGGTAGTAGGGGAGATCGGGTACAGTTTGTAACGCGGTACAAATTTAACAATAGCTGTAAAATATGTAATAAAAGTTTCTGAATCTGGCAATAGCGCACATAAACAGATGTTGATCTGAAGTAGTTTGCATGTTAATTAGACTACGGTAAAAAATTATTGTAGATCGTTTATTTTCAAGGGAGGTAAGTGAACTTTACGTTTTTTAGACTCTTTGGTATAGCCATTTTCATGTTCACATTTATCACAAAGAATGTATTGTTAATGTTTAAATATGTACAGAGTGTTTCACATAATTTTACGAGGCCTGTGCCTGTAAGATGCAATCAATAATACATATTCCGATACGAACTCGATTACAAATTTTGAAAAATTGGTTTGTTCACCCTTTCAAAAATTACAACATTTTTAATTAGCTGGTGAATAAGATAGATAAACTAGAATCATATTCATGCCGTCTCTTGATAGAACAAATGATAATTGTTTCTGAAAAACTGCAGTTTATGACTATTAATGAAACAGTGATTAGTTTGACAACTACTGTCATGGGTTTCCAAAAGTTAAACAATTAAATGTGGATTTTTTGTATCTAGTGTTTTGTGACTTTTGTATATTTGGGTGCGTACATTAGGCGCAAGCCTCGTAAAGTTGTGTGAAACACCCTGTATTTAAAAACTTTCACTGTTAATTTGTTGTGTTATGTTTTGTTTCTGGTGACCGAGCTACATTTATAAAAATATCTCTATAGAGTACAAGTTACAAGTCTAGTCTACGGTAATATTTTTTCAATTGTTTAAACTGTGAAGATGACAATGATTAAAATTAGTGTCTTATTTTCTCTCAACAATAATTATTGTTTACAATTAAATCATAATTCTTGATTACCAAAGATATGTTAAGTTTCTTATTTAAAAAAAAAATGTTTTATTATTTCGTTATTTTTTAAGCAACCAAAAAATTCGATTTCTATTCTATATTTATTTCTTGTTTTTTTAGATCTATGCATTATTGATTTTGTTTTCACTAATAAAAATAATTTTACATATTTTTTAACCTCGTTGCATTTGACCCTCGTGTTTGTTACAGTTACCACACTTTTCTTGTTAATGAAATGACCAAAGTAAACATGGAGTAGTATAAATAGTTTAAATAATATTTCTCTTTTTTAAATTTTATATTATTACACATACTCTAAATAAAAAATCGTCAGTCAAAATGGTCACAACTGTACTCGACCTCCCCTACATACAGTAAACTACTTTATTAAAAATGTTAGACAATATACGAAGAAATATAATGAAGCAAAGTAATGTATTCGTAAATCGTGACTGCGCACTAAACTCCACTTTCTTGTCTTTTTGAATTTGAATGCAAATTGCGTTGTTTTCAGATTCATGTTATTCGTGAACGTGCCTTTGCAGTCTGATAACAAGTCCGGTTATGCATCCTGAGGCATCATCCCCGATACAGGGTAGTTTACCCTCTAGTTATACAGCAATTAACATATCATTTGAGTGTTTGTGCTCGTTACTGCGACCCCCCACCGTCTCGAATAATGGGCTCTGATTGGCATATAAACCCTCTTCACCCGCGTTACGAAAAGTGGAAAACAGGAAAACCTTTCAATTATGTTTATTTTATCCGGCCGCAACCCTGATTTGTTTCAATTACGTGTAATACAACGTGAATTACAGGAAGTTATATTTAGATTGCACGTTTTCCAGATTTGAATGCTGATGGATGATTCAAACACGGCTAAAATTATAATTTATAAAACCGAGATGCCAAATTGGAGGAAAGGAGAACGATGTTAAATAATATAAGCGAAATCTTCTAGCAAACACTTTATGTAGGAAATACAGAGAAGATGAGTTTTCTGTCATGCTTTTAGTTAGAAAATGCCAAATCTTGGTTCCACAAATTCATGAATTTTTTATTATAAAAGATATTACTTTTAAAAACAACTCATAATTATTGAAAAAAGAATACATAACTAAAAATATTTCGTTTGGATCTTGTTCCAACTGAAAATTGATTTTCCTTGCACAATTTTTTCCGAAATGAATAGAGCCAAACCTAATAAAAGCATTGAAACGTTTTCCAATTAAACTTGTTTTAGCATCATTATCCGGTCGAGTCTGAGTTGGTAAGTTCTTTCATTTTTCCCATTTATAGGGATGAATGCAAAGCCACATTATTTCCGCCACTCGAAGTAACTAACCCAGCTCTCTGCTTCACGTTCTTTCCATAAAAGCATCGACGGATAAAATTGTTACAGTTTTATTCTACATTCATTTCTATACTCGTATTTTGAAACGTGAGTTATTTCAAGAGTTTCCTTTTGCTTTATTAGAAAATGTCTTTCATGGTTCAGTTTTATTCAAAAAACACTCTTCAAGTTGTAAACTGCTTAGCCAGAGGCTACGTTGTTTATTCGACATTAAATTGGTGTTTTAGAATGTATAGAAATCGAAACCATTTAGACCGCCTTAGGGATGAAAAGGTACATCTTACACTTTTTCACTCCTACCAACCCTGTTGAGGTAAATTGCTCCAGTTTGTTTATCAGTATGTATCAAACCCAAGTACGCCACTGATACTACCCACCGCTTCGATTTGCCTTAACAAAATTTATTATTGAGAAAATAGAATGAACAAATCCCACATTACGATTTCAATACAGTATGACTATTATAAAATATGCGAAACTGATTTAAGCTCTTAAATTTGATTTTTAACATTTTATAATTATCTGCCTTCTGAACAGTTCGTTTGATAATGAATTTATGTGTTGTGACTTACCTATTTTCTTATTCTTTATTCATTCTTTTTGTAAGTATTGTTAATTATAATTTGTTAATAGCACTTTTATTTTTCTCATAAACATAAATAAAGCTTTATTAAGTATGACAACATTTAAACTTTTTAATGTATCTCTGTTGCTGTTTTAAAATTTTGTTTCCAGACTCCTGTAAAATCATATTACGAAAATGGTAAGTCTCGTCCTTGCAAATGTAAGTATAAAATAAATTTAAAAATTAAACATCTTGAAACATAAAAAATAAAAATTTTCCAAATTATGTATTACAATAATTATTTGTTTAATTGAAATATTTCTATTTTCTGGAAGTTTTAGGTATATACCTTTTTTACACAATTTGCATTTGTTTCTAAATGTTTATAAAATAGGTGCACATTTTATTTTAAATAAATATAAAAAAGCATAAAATCTAATCGCAATTTGACGCTCTGGATCTCTAATTAAAGACTTTTTTTCACAAAAATGTTGTTTTAGGTGGAGATTTACTATACCGGTTGCTTAATTCACGCCAAAATGAAAATATTCTCGGAGGAAATGAAGCATATAACGAAGGCAAGTCATTATTAAGACACTTTTAACAATATTATAGATTCATTTTAAATTGCACCACTCTATTGACTTTACTTGTTTTAATTTAATTTTCTAAAGATTCTTAAATTAACAATGTGCTATAATAATACTATTGTAGTTGCAAACAGGCATAAATAACTATTGCTAGTTCTTTTACAGATGATGACACCTACAATGCACCTCAAATGGCGCCTCAATTCCAAGAAATATTTGACAAACCATCTAGACAATTAGGGCAACTGATCCTCAATAAAATCCTCATTCCTATATCAAGCAGGAACTTTGCCATGGCAAGAGTACCACGTCCTCAATCTAGACGAAGGCAATTAAAACAATTTTGTTTTTTTATAACTGATAAAAGTGAGGTACTTTGGTGTCCCGGAGCTTTAGCAAAAATTGGAAAATTTTTAAGAGAAAAACCGACATTTTTTGGGATACTAAAAGTACTCTTTGATAGTTTTATCGCAGCACCTTTAAATTTTCTATTGGGTTTACCAGTCTGTGATTAACAGCATTCATTAAGAATAAATCTGTTTTAATTAAAGAAGGAACAATAAAAAATTATAATGACTTTCTTGTTATACAATTTTTTTAAACGTAATGTAAAAAAAATTCACTCTTTACGATGAAATTTATAATATATAATAATTCTATTAAATAGAGCGACAACTGATTTATGGCTTTAAAATCGTAAATTAGGATTCTATTTAAGACAAATATTGATTTTTTGTTTTATTGATTCACTGTGTTCTTTAACAAATGGTTGTAAATAATTTGGGAATGTATTATAACAAAGTTCTTGTGAAATTAAAATGATTCTATTATCAAAAAAATTGTCGCAAAAACTATAATTGAAGAGGAAATAGCACATCAAAACAACATTGTCAAGTAATAGAATCTCCTACGAATAGAGACAATTCTTTGTTAACAAGTTTCTATTCGAGCAAATTAAAAACGATCCCACATCGAACATTAAACTTTATAATCGTAGCAACATAAAACGTTTAAAAAGCTAATAAATAGGCACATCTAATATTGATCAGTACTCATTCCTTTGAGCAGTTCTAGGAGCTACAAACATGCTTTTGTTCAGCTTCTTAAGTTTTTTGTTTTCTTGTTTAATGTTTCTAGTAAGTAAAACCTGTTTAGCTTTTTACTTTTACTTAATTTGGATATTTTAGATTAACAACAGTGAGGGCCAAAATTTTGGTAAGTTTTTTTTTCATTCAATTTGAAATAACTTAAAAATATATTTAGGACCTTTTCAATTAGCTAAACCATTAGGAAAACAACCTGCTCTCAGTAAGTATAAAAACTAGTTTCTCTGGTTTTTATTGAATTTTTTCAAGCTTACGACGTTTCATTACCCCAAGTACCTCAAAATGATCAGTTCAGTATTTGGGAGACTTTCCAGCCCTTCAAAAAACAGATTATACCACAAGGTGAAATATGGTACCCTGAAGGACAGATTCCTCAACAAAACAAAGGATTTATGGCAAATGTCTATAGAGGGATTATAAATTTCTTGCTAAGCTTTATTCCAGCCCCAATTCGGTATTTCTTAGGATGGTATTAACGCAATAAAAATATGCCATATTTATTGACAATAAAGAAATTTAATTTATTAATTCACTTTTTACTTAAAACAAAACCATTAATTATTATTATTTAATAAATCGACTATTTGCGCAGCACTTGGCCTTTTATTTAAATTTTCATCCCAACATAAACAACATAGTTGTGACAAAGTTTCATCCTTTGTGTCCAAAGGAGGCCGAAAATTAAATTTCACAACCTAAAAACCATAAATTTCAGTTTGATTCAAATGATGGAAAAAATTACTTTGTAAATTATCACTTCACTATTTAGAAATTCATAAGGGCACTTTCGATGAATCATCTGCCATATAAGGATAGCTAAAGAATAAATATCACTTTTTGTGTTTGGTAATTTTCCTCTTAAAATTTCAGGTGCCGTGTATGCCACTGTTCCCTGAAATTCAGTGTTTTATGCAAACTTAAAACGGATATCTGATGGTGTTACCTGAAATGTGCACATTTCTGTTGCATTTGATGCTTTCACAGAATTGCCAAAATCACAAATTTTACAAACTTTGTTATCACAGAGCAGTATATTTTTCGGTTTTATGTCTAAATGCAAGACATTATTTTCATGGCAGTACTTTAAACCTTTTGCAACATCTTTGCTAAATCTGACAATGGCATTTCGGTCCAAAACTGTATCAGCATCATCTATGACATTTTGTAAGTTTTTTGAATTCTTATTATATTCCATCATCACAAGAGCATATTTCTTACTAACAATTATATCAAGAATTGTAATAATATTTTCATGATGAAGACTAAGGGCATTTGATTCGTTTATGAAATCAGTGGATTTATTTAATTTAATAATTTTTGCGGCAACAGTTTTACCTGCAAAAAAAAATTGTGTTTTGAGTATAATTTTAATTCACTTACCATGATAATTTCCTTTAATAACTGTGCCAAATGATCCTTTGCCCAGAATATATAGAAGATCATACTTACTCAAGCCGTAATTCAGTAACTCAGATTTATATGGAGAATCAATGATTAAACTGTTTTCGCAGTCGGTTTCTTGAGTTACTTTTATTTGTATCGTATTATTTTTAACAGATTTTTGCACTTGTAATTCTTTTGAAAAGTTCAAGCTTTGCTTTGGAACTCTTCTGCAATTTATTGTAGGAAATAGTGTTTACCAATAAAATAACTAAAATACGTACTTGGGAGTGGACGTGTAATGAATTTTGTTTTCCAACGGTGACAATAATTTGGGACGTCTTGGCGAAACAAATCTTGTATTTAGTAAAAGTGATGATGCTGATTTTATTGGCGTTGACATTTTTCTATTTAAGTTTACAATTTATTAAACTTTAATTATGATTCTTTTACTGAGGAAATAGCTAGCAGGCGTACTAAAACTTTTTGTAGGTACTTGTTTTTTGTGTTTTATGATAATAAACCCACTTCTTTAAGAAATGTGTGCTGATGATAACAGACATCTAAAACATCACGACCTCTTAATTCGCATTTTTGAGTTTTCTTATTATTCCTTCAACAATGTAATTTCATCAACTTTTTTTACCAGAAATATTTTGAGTAATACATATTAAGTAAGTAGGTAGGAGTAGCATATGAAGTTGAAGCAACTAAGTTTTTAGGTGTAAGAATCAACCGTATAGTAATGAGATCTACACGTTTTTCCTAAAATTTCAATTTTTTTAATTGTTTTTTGTAATTTGCTTCCATTTTGATACTTTTATAGACACATTAAAGAACGCGACTTTAAAAGGTGACTGAATGAAATTGGACTTTTAAAATTAGAGGGCAAATTACAAAAATAGTATAAAACACTTCATAAGACCTTGAGGCACTCATTCTTTAAAATAACTTGTGGCTGCGCCACTCGTTTTTTAAACTTGAATTGGTGCCTTAAGACTGGTCTTATGGTACTTGTTTTTTAATATACTATTACAGTAAAGACGTTTTTGTAAGACCCACTAATAATTTTATTATTTTTAAGTTAAATGCGGTATTGTTAAGAGTATTACCAGAGGGTAAACATATAAATCAGTGGAACCCACCCGGACCGAGAAACGAAGGAAACAGATCAGTTTTCAAGGGAACGTGCCGTTTATTAAGGGTTACAAATCTAAGCCATTATTTGGTAATCCCTCATAATCATGCAATACAATTTTAATGGGTCTTACAAGAACGTTCTTATTGTAACTATTAAATTAGATTCATGTTATGCAACTACCATTACACATTTTACAGTTAATTTGAAATAATAACATATAAATTTTACATTGTAAGTTTTTTTTTAATTATTTTGAGTTACTCTATAAACTATTCAATAAACTTTAAAATCAATTTTAATTTTAATTTTAAAAAATATATTACTTTTAGTTTTACAAATATCAGACAAATATTTTAAATTGTTCTTGACATTTGTGTTGGTAGCCCTGTAACTTTAAAAGTCAACCAATGGTAAAGCGTTTATTCAAATTTGTGTCAGTTGTCAATTTGTAACGGATTTCACTCTATGATTTCACTTGTTTCGTTACACTTCGAGTTCCTGTTAAAGTGTCAATTTAAAAAATTCGTTTGCCTTAAAGTGAATTTATTTATATATATGAAAAATGGCAAGCAAAGAAGAAATAAATCTCATGGCTGAGCAATATCTCAAAACTTTGAAAATTCCTCCAGAAATTGAAAAACCCACCACAGAACTGGTGAAAAAAATGATGTCTCATGAGTGTTATGCTAACCCCGAGTAAGTTTTCCATGCATTTTATATTTTCTGATTTTATTGCGTTGTAGTTACGAATGGTCATTGAATGATTTTGAGTTGGGCAGAAGATTGGGCCGAGGAAAATTTGGTCGTGTTTTCATTGCCAGAGAAAAAAAAACCGGCTTCATTGTCGCTCTAAAAACGCTTATGAAAAAAGAAATTGTTAAAAGTGGTGTAGAAAAGCAAATTTTACGTGAAATTGAAATTCAGTCACATCTCAAGTAAGAAAACAACATAATTTAACATTGCTAATTCTATAAAGTGTGAAATCTGTGGTGAAATTTTGTTATACTAAAAACAAAAACACTGAATCAATAAACTTGAAATGTTTTCAGGCATCCAAACATTCTACAGCTGCTTTGTTGGTTCCACGACAGTCACCGAATTTATTTGGTCGTCGAATTTGCTGGTAAAGGTGAACTCTATAAGCATCTTCAGGACGGCAAAGACGGACATTTCACCGAAAAACAGTAAGTAGTGTACATTTTTTTAATACTAAAGATTATTATAATAACGTATATCAAGAGTGTTATGAAAAATTCATGAACGTATGTATTACATAGTAACATCAATATCTATCAATTATATCATATGTACCAATTTTTAAACACCTGTCTTGCTTAGAATCAATTTTTTCTAAAACCAATTAAAAAAGTCAGCATTTACAACATGCCAACATTCTCATGAGCATCATTACAATGTTCTATCTACTTTCTGTAGTATATCGTAAATGTTTTGACATTTCATTAAACGTAACACTTTATGCGAGACATACGATAATAAAATTTACACAACACTCTTGATAGACATTCTTTTATAAACGCCTTGTACAGGCTGAGTCATTTATAATAAAGACCCTGACCGATTTTTAGATGCAACCCAATATACATTCTCACGGACAACTTCTCTTTTGTTGTTTGAAAAACTTAGATTATTAAATTAAATCAAAGTAATTGTTGATATATGTCATTAATTAAATTTGACACTGTCATCAATTTTCCTTGAATTCAAAATGTACTCAATCGACGAAAAAACTGACATGATCTTAAAAGTGGAGAATTCCAAAAAAAACGCTGTGACTGAATCTGCACCGTCAAAGGTACACCGTAGGACTCCAATTTATAAAAATTGTCAAAGCTATTACAGATATCTAAGTTTATATCTTTGAAAAATTTCAAACAGAACATCAGTTAATGCATAGTGGTATCCGAGAATGTATTTTGGGTTGCGTTTGAAAATCGGTTAGGGTCTTTATTGTACATGACTCACTCTGTATATTGCAGAGCTGCCAAATACACCTACCAAGTAGCAGATGCAGTTAATTACTGCCACCAAAATCAAGTAATTCACCGAGACATCAAGCCTGAAAATTTGCTATTGACTTATGATGATGATGTGAAGCTGGCCGATTTCGGTTGGTCGGTTCATTCTCCATCGTTAATTCGTGACACGATGTGTGGAACTTTGGATTATCTGCCACCCGAAATGGTTGAACATAAAAAATATGGGCAATATGTGGATCACTGGTGTTTGGGTGTGCTTTGTTACGAATTTTTAGTTGGACGTCCGCCGTTTGAAAGTGAAACAAGTGAGGAAACGTACAAGAAAATTCGGCGAGTAGACGTCAAATTTCCAGCCTGTGTGCCTGAGGGGGCCAAAGATTTGATATCAAGGGTATTTTACTTTGTACTTTTTATCTGGTTTTTATGTACACATTTTTACAGCTCTTGCGTCGGACCGGTGAGAGGAGACTTTCTTTAACAGAAGTTATGAATCATTTTTGGATTGTTGAGAACAAATAGTTGAATTTTATTTATCCTGCTTTTGTACTTTATTTTAATCCTGTTTTAATTCTTCCAAATTGTAATAAAAAATTAAGCTCTACAAAATATGTTTATTAAACTACCAACAAAAATTACTCATCAATAAGCATTTGTGAAACACTTTTTACATAGTCATTCGGTAGACTTTTCGCAAGTTCTTCTCGATCTAGCCATTTGTAATCAACTTTTTCATTTTCTAATTGGCCTTTCTCATATCGCGCAAAGTAAATGAAAACCTATGAAAAAGAGGAAATTTTCATTTCAATTTCATTTAATTTAAAAAATACCTACCTTTGCTCCAACCGCATCTTTTCTTGCAATACTAGGATACTTATATTTGTAAAAAGCAGATGGAGCGTTACCATATATCATCGCCTTCAAGTTGCCTCCACAAGTGTCTTTCACAATTCTTTCCGCAGTCTTAAAAATCAAAATGAGATAGGAACAACAATGGAAAAGAAAACTACTTGACGCAAGGTTTCTCCATCTTGTCTCAAAGCCTGTGGTAGCAGATAAAAATTATCTTTACCAATTTTCTGTTTTGTAACTAGAACTAGATGTTTATCTAGTTTTCTGTTGAGTGACTTGAGATCATTTTTCTTATCAGCTTCAGTTACTCTGCTAGCGAATTTAAATTTGGAAAATTCCTCTGTACTGGCATCAACTAAATCTTGGGCAGTGTCCTTCAAATGTACCTCTATATCCGCACCTTTCTTCAACTGTTCCAACTGCTTCCTAAAATTATGTCTCAAGCATGTAAAAAAAAAATTATTCAACCCACTGTTCTTTCTCATGCCGTACTTCATGATCTGACTTTAAACTTCGTTCAAACTCAATTTGTGACTGCAAATGTTTATAATCCTCTTCAATTTTTAATAAAGGTGTTGTAATTAATGGTTTTCGTTCCAAACACACTGCTGTTAAAAGGTCCCACTTTTCCCTTACAACAGCTGAACTACTTAAATGCCCTAGTGTTACATGTCGTATGTCGGGCCTATAAAACAGTAAATTACAGTATTTAAACATTGTTATTATTGCAAGACAGTTTTATAAAAGATTTGAGGTTATGGAATTGATAAATTGTTGGTTAGAATTTTATGTCAGAATTGACAGATTAATATAAGAAATAACCAAAACTGAATTGGTCCGCTGTGATTTTATGTTCCAAGCAAGTAGCTTCACCGAACCGACCTACTAGTTTGATGTCATGCGCCTTAACAAATTTGACATTTTTAAAAGTTGTCGGTTAATTCTTCTCTACGATATTATCTGTTGAGGAACAAAGATTTTGTGTTAAAACAGCTTGGAATTCTTTAACTAATCTTCAGAAGTTGTGATTAGCGTTGAACTCGAAGTTTAAGGTAAAATTGCTGTGTTTTTTCTACCAAAAACTTGATGTTATCTTAATATTATGAAAAAATCTAGTAATTTCAAATTGAGCACTTGTAACTAAAATTTCGATTTATATTTTTTATTTGCACATACCTCAAAATCGCCCTGTATGTTTTTTGTTGCGTTTTACTCAAGTGATTTTGAGAGTTTTCATCAGCCTTTTCTATACTGTTTTCTAGTCTGTTTTCGAAATATTCTTCCCCCCTAATAAGGGTACTCAATTTTTGATATCACCAAGAAATTCAGCGCTAACAAATTACTCCAGATGCAAAATTTTGTAAATTTATGTCCACCGGTGACTGCTCGATATTCTTCTTCTAGATATATGTTCATAGGAACTTTTTCTTATTTTGACCAACGGAACCACCCCCTAAAATGTTTTAACTTTTTATCCGGACACCCGGTATTTGATTGGGGTATGCTGATAGCCCGCCAGAATATAAGTGCTAATTCATTTCACTAGAATAGTTAAGCATTAAGTTTAAATTTTGATTTCGGGATCAAAATAGTAAGATTAAGACTTTTTAAACACATGCTTTTCTTAAATGTGGCGTTTTAGTTTAACATTGGGTGCAGAAACCTGTAAGTACTTTCTTCTAAGACGTTAAAATATGATTCAACTTTTTTTTGAATTTGTGATAAACATTTATTTTTATTTTTCCAGAATGAATGCCAAAGGGGATGTAAACTACACCATTGAACAAATTCGCAATTTCTGGCCTGATTTACCATTTAATACAGAAGACATCACTCAAGGACGACCCGACTTCATTATTCGCTTTTCGACCAACTTTGTTGCTGAAATAAATGACAAAATTTCATATCTGTGCCTCGAGGAAAACGTAGGAGATGAGCACCCAGAAAATCCAGAGTATGATAAACGGGTTACTTTGTATTGTAAAGTTAACAGAATTTTTAAAAAGATGGGATACATTTCTATTAATTTGGTCGATTTTTATGTTCAAAATCCTAAAAAAATGTATCCAGTTGTAAAATGTGCCATTCATTTTGTTATTTACTTAAACAACTATTTGGATAATATTTTTGGTATTGTATATGAGCATTTAAACAAGCTGGTTGAACATGATAACTGCAAGATATTGAAACAACGAATCTTGTCAGAGAATGCAGAAGATGCTGAACATCTTGCACGATTTATGGATATTTACAACGCATTGGAGGCAAAATTAGAAGAAGTGAAAAAGAGTAATGAAAAAATTGATAAGGTTGCGGCAGAAAAAATGTTTTTAGAAGAAACGTCCGAGTTAAATCTTCTACAAAATGAAGTGGAAAATCTCGAATATGAGCTTAAACTACTAGAAGACAAAGAGGAAGATTTGAAAGAATGCATTGTAACAGATACCGATTTTGAAAACATGATAAAAACAGAAAAAATATTGGAACTTGAACAGGCAGAGCTATGTGGCGATGAATTTCACATCGACGACGGTATAGAGAAACAAAGGGAAAATGCAAAAGAACTTGAAACTTACGCTCAAAAGTTACAAGCTTTGAATTTCGATTCGTTGGATGCCAATTCTTTGTTAATACACAGGGAGCAGTTTACTTATAATAAAAAACACTTGAAAGAACTTAATGATGAACTATGTTCTTTGATTGATGTTTCAGAGACGAAAAGAAAATGGGTTGGAGGACTTCAAGATTCAGTGGAGAAAGCTCAAGCACGTATCAAAGATGTGGAAAACAAATATTCATTGAATGCTGAAAAGGAACATAATTATTTAAAAGAAAAAACCCTACAATTTTCCGTCAAACTTGAAGAATGTCAAAAATTGGAATCGCAAAAGATTGACCTCAACGAAGAAATAAACCTTATAGAAACTAATGAACGTATTTTAAGAGACACTGTTGCGGATGAATATCGAAAAATTCTCAATGAAGACAAAGCGACTACAAATCAATTTCACAATTGGCTGTTACATATTATTAAAAGGTGTAATCCTCATGGTTAATATTTAAAAGGATTTTTTTTAATGAAATGTATTTGAAATTAATAAAAATAAAAGTTTTCTAATAACTTTTAAATTTCTTTATTAACAACAAACACACCATTTACACTAATAACGCCAATAACAACACTAATCATGTTGGTGTTACAAGTAGTAGGTACAAGTCAACTACACAGAACAAGCTGAAATTAATTTTATTTAAATTTTCGTAATGTTTTAAAATAATGGAAATTTGTTCAAAGGAATGACGTTTACTGTGGAACAAACAATAATTCAACAATAGATTGTATAGCATTTTGAAACATATCATAGGTGCATATTTTGAAAAAAAAAGACTTGCAGATCTACATAATACATACTTATAAGGTTCACAATAATCTATTTGAACTTAATAGTATATTAAGCATCAAGAACAGTAAGGACATTATACCGATCGAAGACACTTGTTATTGTCTCAGATCGGTAAGTCCTTAACGTTCATGATGCTTACATTTTTTGCGCGATTGATTTTTGTTAGTTTTTTAAATAAAATATGTAACAAATGTTCTACAACACCAAAATATTTTGGTGTTCTAGAACATTTTTAAATGCTTACCGACTTAGCTACAATAAACAAAATAATTACCGACCAATTTGGGATAGCAATAAGTAAATACAACTTACAGACTTGGAAACAGGCGTAGTAACCAATCTAATAGCGTCTAATCGCGCAAAAAAAAATATAACATTTACTATCACAATAACATCCCTTTCTGTCTAGTAGTAACGAACAACAACAATACACATTATTCACAGCCTACTTCATACAGTGTGTGTGCTACGTGTTTATTATGCCAAAAAAATATCAACCAAACACTAGAAATTTAAACTTTTTTTTATGCAGTAATGTTACCTTGGATAATATGCTTTACAATTTTGTGTACAGTTTATTTTTATTCTTTCTGTTGTGAATTGTGGACTATCCTTTACAAAAAAAACACGACGCTTTAGGTTTTTTATTTATTTTTTTATATTAGTTATATTGTATTTCTATTTTTAAATTAACACAATTTAATCTGATCAGTAGCTAACGTTTTCATCTAACTGCAATATTACGTGAATTCGATAACATATAAATGTCTAAAACTACTTTCACAACCGTAATTGATTTCAGCAAAGCATCATTTTATTAGGCACATGCTTTGGGAGGGGATTATATTTTGATTATGAGCAACACTGATTACCGTATATCTAACACTATCACAAATAAAATGTAATACAAAATAAATTCTTTACTTTGTTTAAGGAAGACTATATGGAACAAAAAATATAATAGTTTTAAATGATATGTATCTACGCATTACATTATGTCTACGAATCAAATTTTTAATTTTTGAAACAGAAAAAATTTAAAATCTTTCTAAGATAAAGACCATAGCGGTTTAGCTTAATTTTAGTACCTAGGTAGTGGTGCAAAGAGCGCTGTGCAAAAGTTTAATAGAAATAGTGCAGAAAGTTTCGTGTAAAATCTACACAACTATTCGAAGTATTCGTAGCATCTAACAAGTTGGACGTTTTTAATTAGCTCTGATTGTTCGATAGATTACTTCAGAAGATTGTTCTTTGATTTATACTTGAGTACGCGCACAGCAATAGAGCTTAGGATTATAGTTTGATAGTTAAGAAGTAACTTTTAAAAAGCCTACTAATGCTTTATAATGATGCAAGAATTAAAAAAGTTTCCTTATGTAAGATATTTTTAAGCAATTTTATTCAGTATATTGTTTTGGCACCTATCAGCTATCGGCATGATACACAAAGAACCTTTTTTAATTGAAATAAGAAATAAACTGCTACGAATTTTAAAAACACGACTTTTTTGAATTAAAAAAACAAAAGTCTTCAAACTGGAGCGAGATTATACTCGTACGTAAAAAATGGGCGAATAATAATTTAGAATTTTTTAAGTAAAAAATGGAACTTTAGTTAGTCTTTTGTTTGCTATACATTTTTTGTATATTAATAAAATAAGTGTGATTTAATTACAATTTCAACAGTTTTTCAGCAATTATGACTAAATAGTTAAATTTAAAACTAATATAGTTTTGCTATAATTATGTTGTCTTGATTATAAATATAATTACTCATAAGCATAGAACAGTCTAAAGCTATAAAGCTTTTTTATATGTTACGTATTTACCGTTTGTTGTAAAAATGTTAATATCTTCGCATTTTGACAATATGATTGTCAATACTGGAAATGTAAAAACCATAATTGCTGATGTGTGTATTCGGGGGGTAAACCGCAACCCAAATTTTGTACACCAAATTTTCTTTTTTGCTTAGATCTCTGATTGCGTTAATTTTCTTATGATTTCCCCTGATTTCCTTTGACTTCGAAAATTTTGAACACTTAAACCAAAATTTTTGTATGCCAGATTTATTTTTTTTGTTCTGATTTCCCTTGAATTTCGTTGATTTTCCTATGATTTCCTCTAATTTACTCTGATTCCAAAAAATGAACAAAAAATATCTCGCATGCACATTTTTAATTATTTCACCTGTTTTTCTCATGATTTTTTCTGTTTTTCTCTCACTTTTTGTACACCCAATTTTTCATTGTTTTGATTGCGTTGATTGCCAAAAAATTATCAAAAAAAGCTAAAGAATAATGATTTCCCATTGTTTCCTCTGATTTTCTCTAAATTCCTCAACATTTCCCCTAATTTGAAAAATAAAGGAACAAAAAAACTATTTGCATCCACTTTTTTAATTATTTTCCCTGATTTCCTCATATTTTTCTCTGATTTACTCATGATTTCTCGGATTTTATTAATACAGGGTGATTCAAAAAAGTCGGGCCAACTCTCGAATATGCTAAGCATAAAAATGAACGCAATTTTTCAAGTCATTTTTGGAGAAAAAACGGAACAGTCAATTTCCATATTATCATGTAGACATTTTAACTGTTTTGTTTCCGATGTTGTCGGATTTAATTTATTGTTGGGCAATAAGTTAATCCAAAATCTAACTAGTGAAGACTATATCTCAAAAAAAAATTCATGGAAACTTTAAACTCAATTGGATGTTTTTTATCACCACCCAAGAAATGGCCCGATACTTTTGAATCACCCTCTACACCAGATTTTCTTTTTTGCTTTGATTTCTTCTGACTGCATTGATTTCCTCCTGATTTTATTTAATTTCCTCATGATTTCCTCACGGTTTCTTTGATTTCCCCAATTTTGTACCCGTAATCCTCTGCGGTTTGATTGTGAGGTTTACCCCTTAGTGTTTTCGAATTAATACGTTTTTAGGTCGTTGATAAATTTCACGGTAAGTTGGCTACAACATCAACTACCTTTTATGCAATGTAATTACGAAAATAGGCACTCATGAGCAAATGGGTAACAGGAAATTACAGTAAACTCCACTGGTTAGAATAGTAAGTGACACATTATTCTACTTGCTCCAGTAGGAATTACTCTATTTTCCGCTTACTTGCTTCTCAGAAAAAAAACTGCTTTCACTTTGAAATCAAGTGCTTTCCGAGAAGCTCCTGGCCGAGTCCGTGGTGGAGCCTTCGCTAGACACCAGATATCGATTCGGAGGCATCGGAGGCAACGTGAAATATTCGGCTGACGGAGGAAGCACGTTTTCTAGGTAAGCTCCTGAAATATTTCCCGCAGGAGCGTAATGAGCAACAACGACGATCTTGCCAGACCTCGAGCGGGCCTTGCCTATGCCGAAATAACGCGAAGATGACCAAACCAGCTGCGTGAAGTGGCCTAAAAAATACGCACTGGATTATCACGCGATGTTTATGATAATGCGTGTACCTGCATTGACATTTGCATGCAGAATGTCCGGCTCTTTTCTGAAATCGTACTGACGAACGGCACGATACCAATAAGTTGCGACTTCTTGTCCTAAAAATGCCGAATAATTGTACGACGTTATTGCATGTTTGGAGACTTACCTGTGACGTCATTAACCAAGACGTTCGAAGGACGACAGAATAAATTTTGGCCGATGTCTTTGTCGGTGCGGTAGTAAAAGCGGTTCGTGTGGGCGAGATGGTTGGCCCAAGTCTGTGCAAGGTAGCACAGCTAGAATATTGGTTTTTACAAATTAATAAATACAATACAAAGCTTCAATCGAAAAATATTAATAGTACATTATACATAAAGGGAGAGAAATGCACGATTATTCCTGAGGTGTCATTTAAAATTTGCGCCAGAGGGCGAAGCACGAATGCTATAAAGCACCAAAGGAATAATAGCATTTCTCTCCAGTGGTGTATATACTATTTTTTGCAAGACAAAGAAAATATAAATAAAATGACGCTTTTTCATTTGATAAATTTAAGTTGGTATTTTTTACTTCTTTGCTACCTGTTATCTCCCAAAGCCACGATGACCCAAACTTCATACTTGCCCATCGTTCCTACCTGTGTTGGTAGTATGCGCTGACAAATTTTCAACTTTTACAAAATGACGAAGGTCTGGCAACCGCGGGCTTTTGCTCTATTAGAGTTGGGGTTATTCTGATGTTTTTAATGAGGGAATTTAAATCTTTTTTATTTAATTTTGCATTAATTTGATCTATAAATACTTCCGTTTTCCTTGTGATGGTAATAGTTCTCAATAATGATATTCTATAAATATTTGTATCAATGTAATATCCCCCAACATCGTCATTTGCCAACCCCTAATCATTATAACCCTTAGTACATAATGAAGATGATTATTATTGACTACTAGGAGAGAAAAACAACTCCAAAACCACTCGAGAAACTAAATAATGGTCTCTTTTTACAGCTAGTAGTGAAAAAAAAAGTTGATTTCTACTCCTGGTCGTGCAAAAAGAAGATTTATTTTAAAACGTTATTTGTTGACGTAAAATACTGTTTTTAATGTTAAAAATGAAAAAAAGAAATTCTGTTTTAGGTTCACACGCTGAAAACAACTTAATCTTAAAAGGAAACATAAAGCTTTTTAGAGTTGTGAATATTGTTCCAAATTTAGATTTTTTTTTTTAATTTCTATAAGTCTTCTTATTATTGTTAGAGATCAATTAGCGTTTGATGCAGTTGCAATGATGCAAAAATAAGTATTTACCATTTTCTGTAATTTAATTGTCTTATGTCGTAATAATTGTTTAAAAAAATATACGTAAGTTGACACGGCGCATCCACCGTATGTGATATTAAATTATTTACAAAGTTGTTGGACAGAAGTTACACTTTTATAACAAAAACTTTTTTATAATTTAGTAAAATATGATAGATATCTCTCAAAATTAGTTCCAAGTTTTTAGTTTCTCGATATATAACAAAAAGTTGCAGTAAATCGTAAATCTACGTCTAATAATTGAAAAAATGTTTGTTGCTTCTCATATTCTCCTTAAAAACTTTATTGATAAGTTTATTTTATTTGTATTAGAAGGGAGGGAAGTGTATCTATTCCCCCACAAGTTCCTCCATTAAGGAAGAAAGAATATGAGAATCCACAAACATTGTTTCAATTATTTTCAATAAACATGTTTCACCCCTGCTCTTTATTGAACAATAACCCCGGATGTTTTTCGTTCCGGAATGCAAGTTGCAGATAAAATAAAAACTTTATATAAAACCAAAGGTTATTGCTTTCTTTATTGCTGCTATATGTTTCTATTCGTTTTATATTAAAACAAATCTTTTATTCCTTTGTTCCACTTTGATCTGAAGTGCCGATTGGCTCAAACATCCTATCACTTCCGACATGTCTGAAACCTTACCTCCGACGACATAGATAAAGCTGGAGATCCGTGCCTTTGTCTGTAGACATTATGCCAACAAAGACAATCCGTTATAAAATCGCTATCTTTCCAGGCGGTCGTCAGGTCAGACACATCCAAAACCATACTCACAGGTCTGTGGGTCAAAATCTGTAAAAAGATTCCAATTCAAATAATGATAAATTCGTAGTAAACACGCGTTAATTTATCTATTCAAAAATATTTCAGAAGCTCGTCGCTTGAAAGTCATCAATAACAGATTATCTGCAGAACCATCTAAAACTCGTTGACTGGCCTTGACATTTAAGTAAACAAATTGCAATGCATTTGCATGATTACGGCAGTCTTCGTTTTTCCACTGCTTTAAAGCTTTCAGATAGTAATCAACGCCCAACACATTAAAGTCAAAGTGCGAATTGCTGATTAACCGCTAGATTATTACCAATTGAATCGAATACTCACCCAATTAGTGGTAATTCGCCTTTGCACAAGGGTAAATACATTAATGCAAGTTATTGAAGCTGAAATTTCCTTTTTGTAAAAATGAATTGCTTGAAAAAGCAAATCCTTGAAGGGAAGGATCGTCAAAATAGCGTGTTTATTACAAATAAATCATTAATAACTTTTTGTAGCACTAAGACAGTTTATTTCGATGTAGAAGGGATGCATAATTTATAGAGGGTTGCTCGTGAAATTTTCATTTTATATCCGCGGTGAACAAAAATGTTGTGCATAATTTAAACATAAAAATATGCATATGTATGTATACAAATTCTCGCCTTCTTAAATAATTTATCTTGAGGTTTGCACCTCTAAAAAGTGTTGGTTTAAAATTCCAAATCCTGGTTCTCACCCTTGCAATAATTTATCAAAACAAATCACTCGTTTAAAGGTTAGTGAGGGTTAGTTAAATTTAAATGACTGCATTAAATGCATAACAAATCTCCAGTCACGAATTTGATTTAATCGCGATCTAGCGTGTTCAATTCAACTGATTTGCATATCTTGCTATGTAAATTGGCGTAATTCTAAATAAATGAATTGGGTTGCTGTATCATTAGAACTTACTTAAATTGGAGTCGATTTAATTAATAAATCAGATATTTTGCATGAAGGTAGCACATTATTATCAAAATTAGTCTCTTTTATGATGTTTAAGTAACGCCCTTTAAAGCACGATAATCTTTTCCGTGCACCTTGTTACGTTTTATGACCGAAAAGATTGTGGTCGTTAAGTAATAATTTATTTTTGAAGATAGTGGAAAAGGTTACATCAGAGGGAAAAATGATGATGACTTGATGACTCATATCGAAATTTTGTAATTGTGTTAAAAAATTCAGGAATTTCTATCATAAAATCAAGACTGGAATGAAATTAAATCACAAATTTGTTGTGAGATATTGGAATGTAAAACTACACAGGCAGTGTTATAACTTATAACACTGGTAAATTCATTTTAATTTGTAAAAAAATAACGTTTTGACTACATCCCATTGATTTTAGAATTGCTGTAACAAAAAAAGTTATGCATAGAGAAAATAAATAATTAATTCTTTATGACAAATCTACTGGTGGTCACGTTTTTATTGTTACAAATTTAAACAGGTGATAGAATATTCAATTTTAAGACAAAAGTTTCTTATAAACATGTGTCGAAAAATACTTTATAAAGGAGCTGCAAATCTTGAAAAAGGGTTTTCAATGGGCTTTCCCGATATTTCAGAAATTAGAAAATTTGATACAGTTAATAACTTTTATACACCAAACCGAATCCAAAGATGAAATATCTAAAATCGAAAGGGTATAGGATAAAAAAATAATTTTAAAGTTTAATTCTGTTTTTGATCTGTAACATAAATTTTAAATTGATTTTGCCCAAAAACGATAAGTTCTTTCCAAAAAACGCAAAAGACCTCTTTTTTGTGAGAAACTATGAAATTTAGGATTTTGTTGCTGAAAGTGGCAAGAAACTAAATCCAAAACAGTTAAGGTACTTTTTACCCTATACCCCTATAGTTTAGGCCACCCCTGATTGAAAATATTGACATTTGACCTTTGAATTCGTTTAGGCGTATAAAGGTTATCAACTGTACCAAATTTTGTAATTTCATCTGAAATGGTTTCTGTGTTTCTGAAATATTGAGAAAAACCCATAAAAATGCACCCCTTTCAAGGGGTCCACAGTATTTTTTCTACATGTTTATGAAAAGCTTTTTTTTATTGAATATTCTATCACCTGTTTCAATTTGTATCAACAAAAACAATAAAAACATCCTGTATATCTTTACTTTCAAATATTATTCTAGCGCATACCGTAGATAAAATGTACGATGTTTCATTAGATTAGATATAAACATTATTACATTTAGTTTAATTAGCAATTCACAACAAAACATTAATATAAATTTCTATTTTTAGGAATATAAAAAAACTGCCTTTAAGAATTTTTTTTATTATACTTACAGGCCGCGCCAGAGCTCGAGCCCTAGAGAAAAACGCCATGTAAGATAAGATACCAGGAACATGGAAAAAATGTTTAAAAAATTCTATCTAAGTTATGAGAGTTTAATTTTTTGCACTCTGACATTTTTATTTCTGTTGGAGAAATAATTTTTCAAATTTTATTGCTATAGGCTATGAGAAGAGGAAACAAGGAAGCTGTATCCTAAATTGTAACTCTGTTTAATGTTATTTATGGCTTTTATTGGCCAAATTTTTGTACCTTTATTAAATACTTATAAAAAACATGTAGGTACAAGATCATCCGTATTATTAAATAGACATAAAAAATGTCAAACTGTCAAAAAATAAACGTCACGATTTTTTGACAGATAATTTTTCCATGTTCCTGGCATTTTTCTCTGGGGCGCACCCAGTATTTTTGAGTTCTTTTATCCAATAACACGTGCTCAACTGCTTCCAACTGTTTCCAGTTCTTTAAGTCTAAGAACATAATATGGCATTGATATGTTTAATTTTATAATTGTGAAATTATGGGGGTTTAAATTTCGCACTCTGACCTTTTTTATTTTTTTTTTGGAAAAACAATTTTACATGCTTATTTTTATTTTTTTGGTTTTGTTTGAAAATGAAAAATTACCAAAAAATTATGGAATGTATGTACCTTATCAATGCCCTGGTAAGTGTGAAAAATTTCAACAATTTTATTTAATTAGAAGTGTTTCTACGCGTAACCGATGCCCCAGCGGGAACAACATCATCATTTTCTCTGGGACACGAGTTCTGAAACACCCTGTGTACTTTTTAATTTATAGTATTAGGTACAGTTTGAGACTATTAAAAATTAAGCACCGTAGATTAAAAAAAAATGCGTCTCGTGACTTTAAAAGTAAAAAAAACACAAATTTTCAATCTTGCAAAATTAGGTAACTTATGTGTGATTGATATGATACGAAAGACCAAGATTAAAAATTGAAGTCACTAAATTACTTAGAAAAAAAAATATTATGATGATTTAGATAATTTTGTTTATGCTTAACACTGAACTTAGAAAATTATAACTTGATATTTCTTTCAATTGCCAAAAATCGAAAAACTTCAGCTCTAGTGACATCATATCTGTTATTGGAAATTGGAAAGAATGGTTGTTAAACATAGAAGGATTTTTTTAAACTTTCGGTTTTTAACCATTTCTTTTTAATTGACATGTTCTGCAACGATAAATGTTAGTTCACTAGTAACGAAATATACCTTGAAATTTGACTTGCACAACTTTTGTCCATCTTCCACATTGTACAAGACAACACATTCTAACAATAAGTTAATTAAATTTAATTACTTTCAAAAATAAAAAAATGTTTTGTTCATTTTGGTATGAAAACCTGTTATACAGGGTGCGCCAGAACTCGCGTCCCAGAGAAAAATTTCAAGTAAGATAGAATACCAGGAACATGGCAAAAATATTTAAAAAATTCTCTGTCAAAAAATTTTGACATTTATTTTTTGCCATTTGACATTTTTTATGTCTATTTAATGATACTGATGATCTTGTATATGTTTTTTTATAATTATTTAGTAAAGCCACAAAAATTTTGCCAATAAAAGCCACAAATAACATTAAACAGAGTTACAATTCATGATATAGATTCCTTGTTTCCTCTTCTAATAGCCTATAGCGAAAAAACTTGGAAAATTTTTTTCAACAGAAATAATAGTAATAGTAATCGTAATTTTTATAGATACAATTTTTTTAACATTTTTACCATGTTCATGGTATCTTACCTTACATGGCATTTTTCTCTGGGGAGCTAATTCTGGCGCAGTCTGTATGTGTAGGTGCGAGTACATCGTAGAATGTTTTTTCGCTCTTTATGAAAATGGCAATAAAATTTAGTAATATTTAACTGAAAAAATTAGTATCATTATTTTATACTTATATTTTCATTCCAATCACAAAAGTGCAACAAAAACTTTTCAGTTCAGTTCTCTTGATAAGGAAAGTTGTTGCATATTTTTTTTTTCCAAAAAGATGATGGTTTTGGTCTTTAGTAATTTAAATGGAAGTGTTTTAGTGAGACTGTCTGCAATGTAATGCGTCAAAAGTTTACTATTCAAGTCATGAACGATGAAACTGGAATAGTTTGAATGTAATTTTCTAAGAAGAATGAAGACAACGTATAAGTCAAATTTCCTAACATGAATAAGTTATTATTTCTTGCATGCCAGAGTAGTAACATTTTAATATTTATCTCCATTGTCGAGATTCATACCTTTTGGAGAAGATAAGCTCTATTATCTAAATCCTCTTGGCTAAGATTATTATTGGCACAAGACGCTTCTATAGGTTCCGGTTTATTAGCTTGAAGAACTCGTACAGCTTGCAGTCTTTTCCTCAGATTTTGCAGAGCACGTGCTTCCTCGCGCTTGCGACTAGGCTGATAAGCTGGTGCACAAGGAAGTACAGCAAATTGCGGTTCAGCTGGCTGTTTGGAAGAATTGAGCAACATTTTGCTGACGGGAGTTCGAGGTTTGCTGTACTCCGTCAACAGTTGGATGCTGGGAGGACAGATTGAAGTTTGAGAAGCTATTCGAGGCAGCTCCATGCTGCTGAGAGCACAGCATCCCGCTGCTAGAACTTGCGAGAGTCGAAGACACACTACTGACGCAGTGCATGCGTCAGGTCGATACGTTTGCCTTCGCGTCGCGACGCCGGTAGCACGCGGAACGCCACCCACCCACAGACAGATGCGCAATATACCGACGACTTCGATTTGCAAACTCATTACCAGAAGACGCGGCGATAAATCTTCACTTCCTTGGCACGATCAATGCTGAAGATATTAGATGAGAAGGTGGCACAGAACAAACTTCACAAAACTTACAACACGACAAAGTATCGCACTCTGCGTTAATTAAAGTGAGAGCTCATATTTTACTAGCCCACTTAATCAAAATTAATCTCTAAATTAATTAATGTTTAAACGCAAAATTCCAAGAAAATGCGATTATCTAAGTGATTAACTAAGTAATTATTTACAAACGAGTTTGTTAAAAACAGTGATTGAAAATAGAGATATTCCACCGTACCTAGTGAGCATAGTGAGCGCTACTACTAAATTATGAGAAAAACCTCATTGAAAAATTAAATAAATACATTTTTTATCAGTAGAGTATAAAATGTTACTTCTGGACCAGGACAAATGGCATCTTAAAAAACAAGGCAGAATCCTACAAATTGAGCTGTTTGCCCAAAAGCAAACAACCGAAAAAGGCTTAAAACCTCTAAAAAAGCATTAATTTTTATGCACCCCAAAAATACCCAAATATCTGTAGACCACCAAAAATTGGGCACACGAAAAAACAGGGTAGAATCTTACAAATTTAGCTGTTTTCCCAAAAGTAAACAACCGAAAAAGATCTAATAAACTTAAAAATGCCTTGCCAAAATGGCTTTTTATTTCTGGACCAGCGCATTTGGCGTCTTTAAAAAACAAGGCAAAACCCTAAAAATTTAGCTGTTCTTAAATCCTTAAAAAAGCACCAATCCAAAAGTACCAAATATCTGTAGACCACCAAAAATTGGATACATGATAAACCCGTTAAAAATCACCCAAAATCATGCAAAATTATTGAGATAGCACTCTAAAAAACTTTACAAAATCCGTTGTTTTTAGACATTCCAAATGGCTTTTCGTTTCTGGACCAAGCTATTTGGCGCATGTAAAAAAGAGGAAAAACAACACCAAATCAAAGAGATATATTTGGCGCCTTACAAAACAAGGCAGAATCCTAAAAATTTATATGTTTTCCCAAAAGTTTTTTTGTGCACCACTTTTTTTCAAGGTCAGGATTTTTTTTCCTTATGGGAAAATCTACAAGCGCAATGGCCGTACCGGAGCGCAGCGAAGGTTGATCAAAAATACGCTGAAACATCGTCCTACTCGTTTAAAAAAAAAACGGATTTACTATGAAAAGGAATTTTTTCTGTTATAGAAATTGTTCTTATTTATTCTGATTTACCAAACTTAATGATTTTTAGCTAATTTTTTAGTTTGCATATTTAATTGAATACTAGACATAATATTATCGCAACCTCATTCATATCCTAAATATTACGATTTTATGTACAGGGTGCTGCATTTTGGATGTCCGAATAGGGAATCTCCGAAACTAAGAGGTTTAGCCAAAAACGAGTGATACATTCTGGGGCTCATTTTTTGAGAAAATAACATTGCTTAAAACCGCATCTCGCTATCGTCTTTTGTTTTCGACTTATAGACAAAAATTGACATTTTAGCGAAATCTAAAAAAATACATATCTTTGTTATTATAGAAGATACAGATTTGAAACAAAAACAGTATACAGGCACTTTTTAACGAGAAATTTAATAATGTAATTAACAATTTTTTTTAGTTATTGGTTTAGCCGTAATAACATAAACTTGTATTTTTTTAAATAGAAATCATAGGCGGCTATGGCAATTTTGAAAAGCTTATTTTTTTCTGATCTAAAAAATATATATTTGTAAGAGAATATTTTTTTATAATTATACTTAAAAAATGAAATACATATTTTGTTTGATAATAGTTGGCCATGGAAAAACTCCTTCACTCCAAATGTGTAAATAATAATCAATAAGACTTTTGTGAATTGTATAGATGAAAAAATAGATAAAATTATAAAAATTTAAAAAATACGATACGTTAGAAGTATTGAACAAATATGCCTCAGAACAAAATTATTACATATTTTTAAAAAATCCAAAAATAGGAAAAACAAATATATCAACAGTCAACACAATTAGAAAAAACATTTTTTGATGGTATAATGGAGGCAGGATAATGTTCTACTAATGTTCTAATGTGTCATATATAAAATATATTTTATTGAAGAATTAAAACGGCTTTTTTTACAACACTATGTATCACTAGAAGTTACAATGGTAATGTTAGCTTGTTTAAAAACAAAGAAATGTTATTAGTCGCCAATAAGTTGATTTACGAATTATTTTGCATTTTTTTATTACTTAGTGCTTAAAAAACTCTTCCATTAGTCACACTTGTTGAATAATATAGTTTAAATCCTTTTAGTTGAAGATGCAACATTTTTTCATAACCAACTGCGAACAAAAATCAAAGATAATTTTTTGCTAATATGTATCATAATAATCTGTTACAAATATATATTTTTTAAATAAGAAAAAAACAAGCTTTTTAAAAATGACATAGCCATCTATGTTTTCCATTTAAAAAAATACAAATTTATTTTATTAGGGCTAAACAAACAACTGAAAAAAATTGTTAACTACATTATTAAATTCTACGTAAAAAAGTGCCTCATAAAGTCTTTATTTCAAATCTGTGTCTTCTATAATAACAAAGATATGAATTTTTTTAGATTTCGCTGAAATGTCAATTTTTGTCTATAAGTCGAAAACAAAAGATGCGGTTTTAACCAATATTATTTTCTCAAAAAATGAGCCCCAGAATGTATCACTCGTTTTTGGCTAAACCTCTTAGTTTCGGAGATTCCCTATTCGGACATCCAAAATACAGCACATGTACATACATTGTCAAAAAAATATTATTACACCTAAGTAACGATGCGAACGTAAATTTTTTTTTTATATAATTTGTTTTTGTAACACAACTAGGTACTTACTAAAATAGATTTTTTTTATTTTGTGATATTAAATCGTTACACTTTTTTTATATTTGGTAAATAATGATGTTTAAATTGGGCCAGTTTATAGACAAAGATGTGTATTAACATGGCCAACTTCATCTGTCTTCCGCTGCGCTCCATACGGCCGTAACATACTGTCGATTTTATATGAATGCGTTGAATTCTACTAACCTCAAAAAATCGTCCGGTAACAAGCGTCATCTACTTGATAACTTAAAGACTATAGATATTTCAAATTTGACAATTTTTGTCAAATTTTCAATCATTCTTTTAAAAAGTTCAAAGATCGGCAAGAAATGTTTTGTTTGTAGAGAAAAAGATACTTTATTTGAAATACTTAGCGAT